AGTCTCCTCTCTCCTGGAACCTCCAGCATCTCAATGAAATGTTAGATTATAACATGTATAACACGTTCACGTGGCTCAATAATGAAAAAATTAAAACAGGACACAGTGAAATATCTCCTCCCCAACTTCTGTCTCCCTCCCCTTCCCCTCCCCCTCCCCCCCTCCTTCTACCCCACCAACCCTGCACATGCACTTGTGCGCACGCACTCACCAACAACCATTCTTAGTTCCTGGTGTGTTCTTCCAGGCTGCCTCAGTGCACACACAGGCAGACACGAATGTCTATCTTTTCCTACTTTTGTTTTTTTCGATGGCGAAACACCACCAGCTGTTCTGCACTGTGCTTTTTCCCTCAACATCATAAGTTGGGACAGTTTTCAAATCAGAACCAAGAGAACTTCCTCATTTTCTTTCTGGCCGAATGGCACTCCACTGTCCGGGCGCACTGCAAGTATTTCCCCCGTGTCTGTTGATGGACACGCAGGGAGTTTCCAATATTTTCCTGCTACAGTGGAAGCGACTGTCCTGATCCCTGTGTCGTTTTGCACGGATGCTGGAGTGTTGATAAGATTCATTTCTACAAGCGGGATGGCTGGTTCACAGGAGTATTTGTGGGCTTCCCTGATCTTGCTGAATGGCCCTCCACAGCGGCTGTGAAATCACACTCCCAGAGCAGAGAGGAGAATGCCTGGTGGCCGTCAGCCTCGCCAGACACTGTTGTCACCCATAAGCTTGAGGTTTGGACGGTCTAATGAGCCACCCTCGCTTTCTGCACACCTTTCAAACTGAACTCCCCGGATTTCTCCGCCAGGGATCTCCTGTCTCCTCCCAGGCCTCCCCCGGCTGCGGTGGGGATGGCTGTTCTCATCCTGCCCCTAGCCAGGCTCATCTCCCCCCAGTCACAGCGTTCACAGACCAAGCTGTCTCTCCCCAGGCACCCCAGCACCCCTTAAGGGCTCTCCTGGCCTCCCCGCTGCCCCCCACTCTCCCTGCAGCAGCCAGCAAGGACTTTCCAAGTCACACATCACAGCAAATTGCCTCTTCCAAGCCCTCCAGTGCTTTCCCTTTACAGCTGGAGTGAACCCCAACTCCCAGCCCCAGCGAAGGCCCCCGGATCCCCGCCTGCTTCTCTGGGGGTGTCTCGCTCCACTGCC